CTTATCTGCATTTGTACAATCTAGTGTATTGAAGCTGTTGGAATCAGCATAAAAGCATGTGGAGAAGTTCTTAGAGATGAAAGCCTTTAATTTAACAAGCCAAAAATACACTTTTTAACAAAACGCCTACAACATGAAAACAAACCCAGTGAATGATGCAATGACATGGCAGAAGGCAAGTTGTCTGAGGCATAATCGGCTTGTAAGACTGTGGGTAGCTAGCTACTATCAGGGCAGCCATCAGGGGTGGTACGGCCGATACTCATGTAAGGGGCCCGGGCAGCCTGGGGGCCCGCCAGGGACCCTTACATGAGTATCAGTCGACGGTGAAGAGCGAGGAGGCGGACGGGCCGCTGCAGCGGAGGCCTGGCCCTTGCAGCGCAGGGCCCCAGCATTGCCGCTCCAGCGGCTTCGAGACAAGCTGGGGCCCCATCAGCGACGCTGCTCATGACGTCACATACGGCCAGTCCGGCAGCAGAGGAGGCCTGGTGGGCAGGGAAGATGTACGGCCGATACTCATGTAAGGGGCCCGGGCAGCCTGGGGGCCCGCCAGGGACCCTTACATGAGTATCAGTCGACGGTGAAGAGCGAGGAGGCGGACGGGCCGCTGCAGCGGAGGCCTGGCCCTTGCAGCGCAGGGCCCCAGCATTGCCGCTCCAGCGGCTTCGAGACAAGCTGGGGCCCCATCAGCGACGCTGCTCATGACGTCACATACGGCCAGTCCGGCAGCAGAGGAGGCCTGGTGTGCAGGTAAGAGGAGCTAGGAAGGAGGGGGCAAGGGGATGCAGCCCTGACCAGTCCACCTTAGAACCCCTTCAGATCCCACTATAGACAGTCTCAGATGGGCTGTGCAGCATCTATGGTGTGCTCTGCAGGGTCACTCTCAGGTGAATCCAGCGCGTCACTAAGCCCTAAGTCCAGCGAATCACTAAGCCCTGAGTCCAGCTCGTCACTAAGCCTGCGTCCAGCGGGTCACTAAACCCTGCGTCCAGCAGGTCACTAAACCCTGCGTCCAGCGGGTCACTAAGCCCTGCGTCCAGCGGGTCACTAAGCCCTGCGTCCAGCGGGTCACTAAGCCCTGTGTCCAGCGGGTCACTAAGCCCTGCGTCCAGTGGGTCACTAATCCCTGCTTCCAGCGGTTCGCTAAGCCCAGAGTCCATCAGGTCGCTAATCCCAGAGTCCATCGGGTCCCTGAGCCAAATTCATATACTCTTCTGCATTGGTATATAAATGTATTGCTGGGATTTGTAGTCCCCCTTGCAGCGCCGGAGGAGGCTTGGCCCCATCAGCGCCGCCGCTGTTCTTATATTGGACCGGCCCGAAGTGACATCACGCCAGAGGACGCTAGGTGTACAAGCACCAGCAGCAGGTAAGAGGAGCTGGGAGGGAGATGCAGCCCTGACCAGCCCACCTGGGACCCCTGCAGAGTTTTTTGCTCAGCATGTCACCAAGCCCCGAGTCCAGCGGGTCACTAAGCCCCGAGTCCAACGCGTTACTAAGCCCCGAGTCCAATTCATATACTGTTCTGCATTGCTGTATAAATGTATTGCTGGGATTTGTAGTCCCCCAGCAGTCTGCCCTGGCTAGCATCATATCACCAGTATAGGCAATGTTGTCCTGCAGTTGTCCTATTGTTAAGTCTTTCCCCCCATGATGTATAATTAAAAAAAAACAGAGCTGCATTAATTACTGCTTGTGTGTTTCTTTTTTTATTATATGACCATTGTTATTTGTCTTTGCATTGCTTTGCTAACATTTTGGTAAAATGTATCTTCTTGGATCCCAGTATAGTAACAGTTCTCTTACTTGGGTTCTCAGATTAAAAAGCTTCAAAACCCCTGCTCTATACGAGTCAATGTGAATGCGTGGCAAGCACATCTCCACTGCATCTCCAACACCCACAGCCCTTCTAACTTTTATCATTATTATTAGATTCCTTCTGTTAACAGCCCTTGTTTTCACTTTACTGATCTCTTGACTGTTCGTCATCTTGTTCCTGTTAGGCAGAATGCCCCAGCTGTGTCTTTGAAGGTTTCTTATTTATCCAGGTCATGGTATAGCTAGTAATTTGTATTCACATTCATCTGGACTTGTTCTGTAATGCTTGAAGTGGCTTACAACATAAGCAAAATAATAAATTAGAGAAAAGTTGAGTTAAATGTGACTAACTACTACAAGCTATACCATGACCTGAATAGGTTTAGTAGTTTACCCAGTTACCCTAGCTTCTTCAGTTCTAATGTTACAGAATTAATGAATGTGATCAAATACTCTTATTTATTTATTACAGGTATTTATATAGTGCCGACAATTTATGCAGCACTTTACATAGTGAACATTCACATCGGTCCCTGCCCTCAAGGAGCTTACAGTCTAAGGTCCCTATGTCACATACATACAAGGGCCAATTTAGACAGAAGCCAATTAACCTTCCAGCATGTCTTCTCTTAACTATACCATGACCTGATAATGTTTAGTAATTAACTCAGTCTACTTCTTTAGTTCTAATGTTACAGAACCAGTCCAGTTACATGTGACTGGCTAAAGCTGGCCATACACTGCTCTATTGTTTGCGTTCATCCTGCGGTCTGAGCGAAAAAAAAAAAATAGAGCAGATTCCTACATCAACACTACAAGTGCGTTGATCGAGGAATCCCCGCCGTTTTCTCTGTATTCTTATAGCGGCTGCCAGCTGCTTTCAGAATACCCGAACAGAGCAGGCAGCTCATTGGCTTTCTGCTCTGTAGGGTCTAGGAGCATACAAAGATTTTTCGACCAGCTCCTTCGATCAGATAATCATTAAGAGCCGGCCGAAATTTGCAGGTATACCATGACCTGGAGATACTTAGTAGCTTACCCAAGCCAGTACTTCAGTTCTAATGTTACAGAACAAATTCAGTTAAATGTGGCCAAATACTACTAGCTATACCATGACCTGAAGCTGTTAAGTGTCTTACCCAGTCCACTTGTTCAGTTCTAATTTTGCAGTTCAAGTCGAGTTAAATGTGACCCACTACTACTAGCTATACCATGACCTGAAGACGTTTACCGTATATACTCGAGTATAAGCCGTCCCGAATATAAGCCGAGGTACCTAATTTTACCACAAAAAACTGGGAAATTCGCCGAGCGTCGCGTCACTGCTGCGCCGGTGGGCGGCGCTCCGAGCGGGGTCATCTGGCAGTCTCCGGCCACCTAAATGAGGACCCGGAGACTGCCAGATGACCCCGCTCGGAGCGCCGCACACCGGAGCAGCAGTGGCGCGACGCGGCGAGTTAAGTAGGAAGAAACCTGACCAGCTCGAGACGCTGACTCGAGTATAAGCCGAGGGGGGCACTTTTTAGCAAAAAAAATGGGCTGAAAATCTCGGCTTATACTCGAGTATATATGGTAGTATGTTATGCAATCCACTTCTTCAGTTCTAATGTTACAGAACAAGTCCAATTAAATGTGGCCAAATACTACTAGCTATACCATGACCTAAAGATGTTTAGTAGCTACTAGACATGTGCGATTTGTTTCGTTCTGAATCAAAATTCGTAAGAATTTTCCTAAATTCGGACATTCGGACACATCCGAATTTCCGAATCTCAATGCATTCGAATGTGTCTTAATCCGAATGTAACTTTTCTGGCCAATCAGATGTGTTTTTCGGTTTAATGCTTCCGAATGAGTTTGAGCACGAATTTTCGTTACAGCAACATGGGAGCCATCTGATTGGCCAGAAAAGTCACATGCTATAACGAAAATTCATGTTCAGTATATACAGGTGAAACTCGAATAATTAGAATATCGTGCAAAGTTCATTTATTTCACTAATGCAACTTAAAAGGTGAAACTAATATATGAGATAGACTCATTACATGCAAAGCAAGATAGTTCAAGCCGTGATTTGTCATAATTATGATGATTATGGCTTACAGCTCATGAAAACCCCAAGAACCCCAAATCCACAACCTCAAAAAAGTAGAATATTACATGCAATCAATAAAACAAGGATTGTAATAGAACAATATCGGACCTCTGAAAAGTACAAGCATGCATATGTACTCAGTACTTGGTTTGGGCCCCTTTTGCAGCACTTACTGCAATTACTTATGCACGATATTCTAATTATTTGAGTTTCACCTGTACATACTAAAGCTGAGGCTTCTAGACCCAAATTTCATTTGGGATCAGAATTTCTGAATGCAATTTGGAAATTTGAATTCCAAATGCCATTCAGGTCTGGGAGCCTCAGCTTTAGTAATATAATATGGCTCCCAGACCCGAATGGCATTTGGGAGCTCCAGAATGGAATTCAGAAATTCGGAACCCGAATGCCATTTGGGTCCAGGAGACATATACATATATTACTAAAGCTGAGGTTCCCAGACCCAAAGGGCATTCGGAAGCTCCCGAATGCAATTCGGAAATTTGGATCCTGAATGTCATTCGGGTCTAGGAGATTCATCTTTGGTATTAATATCTGTATATGGTTTTCTGTTTCACTCGCAACGAATATTCATCAACTCATCCGAAACTAACGAAGTGAATTGAATTTCGGATCCGAATCCCAAATTCCAAAATAACTAAATATCCGAAGCAAACCAAATTTTTCCGCAGCTTACATGTCTAGTAGCTACCTCTTCAGTTCTAATGTTACAGAACGAGTCCAGTTAAATGTGACCGACTACTACTAGGTATATCATGACCTGAAGATGTTTAGTATGTTATCCAATCCACTTCTTCAGTTCTAATGTTACAGAACAAGTCCAATTAAATGTGACCCACTGCTACTAGCTCTACCATGACCTGAAGATGTTTAGTGTGCTATCCAATCCACTTCTTCAGTTCTAACATTACAGAACAAGTCGAGTTGAATGTGACTAACTACTACTACCTTTGTTCCGGTTGATTTGAGATCTATAATGTCATTACATGTGTGCAGTAATATAGCTCCCCTCCCACACTGGAAAAAAAGGGCAGGGAGCTAGGAAATACCTGGCCGTGGACAGAATTGGACTTGTAAAAGTATTTTCTACGTGTCACTCTTGTCCTGATATCACTGAAGGTGTTCTGCCTGCCAAGTCCATGCAATATAAAGTTCCCCGGAATACCTCACTTTGCTGGAACTTGTCCCCCTCTCTGCAGTGCTCTATCATAGAGGATGGTGACGGCAAGTGTCACTTGTAATTAAGCACCAGCATCTCTGGGCTGGCATTTAGAGGGTTAACCCCCTTTCACTTCTTCCTTTGTCAGTGTCTTTTCTGCTACTTCCACCCTGCCTATAAGTCCTTTTCTTTCTGCGAATTTGAGAAACTTGCTGAACTGCCCTCCCCCCCTCAGGTCATCTCATTCTACAGGAAAAAGAAACAAGCTTGAATCTAACAGGAAGCTCTCTCTCTATTTCACACTACCGGTTTGTGAATTTTTCTAGCATATTGTCTCTCTCCAGCTCTAGTCCTGATCTGCAGGAGGAAGGATGTGGGAGGCCATCCCAGCTCCCCACATCTCTGGCCGGCTCTTAGGAGCTCGACTGCTCAGTAGATGGTAATGACACAAAGGTCCTAGGATGGGCTGCTGCAGCGTGACAGCCAGGGGTTCCAACACCAGCAATGATGGCCATGAAGAGGTTAAACTGCTGCAGAGACACAACCGGTAAGTGTCAGTTATCATCATGAAAGTGCCATTTATTTTTTGCATGCCTTTTTGTCTTTTGCTGTTGCTTAATAAAACATTAGTACTCCATTTGCCTATTAGTTTGATCACCTTGTGCGGGATTAAAAGCCGGATCAAAGACTAAAAGAGAACGCAACATATTCTTTAAAGGGAAACTTGTGCAGAGACAAATATGTAGACTGCCACTGCTGATCTCTTTCTGAAAGTGATAGCTGTCTGTCTGATTCTGGTTTCAATACTTTTCAAGTCACTGATCAAGAGCAAGCATACAGCAAGTGAAGTCAAAACTTTAATTCTGCATTTGTAACTCTTCCAGGACAGTTGCAAAGTATAGTGCCTATTATTTTCAGCAGGAGGCTAGCAATGGCAACACTTGTTCCTCACTACAGTTTCCCTTTAAATCTCTTTGAATATATGTTATCAAAAATGATCCTCCGATTGCAGGGGATACCTGTAATTTGATTTTAAGCTCTGTGAAGAGGGCTTTGAAAAGCAGCGAGCCAATCACTTTTACAGAAAGTGTGATTTATAAGGTCACGTTGTAAACAGAGATGGTACAGAATGTTTGCTGTTGTCATTTGAACTTTTTGGTAGTTTTGGAAAATCAACGCTATCTGCCAATTAAATGACATGACTATTTATAATAAAATATTGTTTTCATTTTGTTGTACAGGTTGTTTAGGACTATATTAGAGGATATCTTTATTTATACTTACATTATATAAATCCTTGGTGCCCAACGTGTGGCCCGGGGCTACATGTGGCCTTTTGGTGCTTTATGTGCGGCCCTGGGAGTGGACCCTAGGTCATGGGAGCATTGATATGTACTAGTCACATTTAACATGTCCCCAGCCTCTCATTGTCTTCTGCAGCATATCTCCAGTCTACAACCCCAAATGTATCATGTCCACAATCTCCAATCATTATTTCCTCAGTATATCATCACACCCTCTTTCACAGCCCTCTCTTCACATACACTGCACATTATGCACACTGATATATATATATATACACTGAGTGGCCAGATTATTATGACCACCCCATCAGTACTTCGTTGGGCCACGAGATGACTTCGTTGGGCCGCCTCGTGACTCCACGAGATGTTGAAAGGTGATGCGAGGAATCTGACACTGCACTGTTGCCCTTCTGTTGTCTTGTACCAGTCTTGCCACTCTCCGTTCTGCCCTAACATTGACTAGTCGCTGACGGCCACAATTCGCACGTTCAGACCCAGATTTTCGGCTGACAGTCCAGTCTTTAAACACTTTAACAACAGCTGCTCTTGAACATTTAACGAATTCTGCTGTTTTGCTGATACTCGCTCCATGGCTTGAAGCGCCAACAATCATCCCACGTTCAAAGGCTGTTAAATCGCGTTGTTTCCCCGTATCTTCAGAAAAAAATCACTTCTACTGTCGTGGTAAACAACCTGCTTCCCTATTTATAATGGGCTGGCCCTCTAGCAACTTCAGAGCGAAATTATAGCTAATTATAGCTAATTTGCCTACAAACGTCAGGTGGTCATAATAATCTGGCCACTCCGTGTATATATGTAGCGATTGTATGTTATAATACATTTTTGTAGAAATTGAATTTACCTTTCGCCATCCTGACTTGCTTGTGATCTGTCTACATAGAGGTTGGGCCATTATCACTGTATCACTGGTTAGGGAAGGTCTTGGCTTGGGTCAGATTAACTACAGACTGACGAGACCTTTCATAGCTCTCATGCTCTACTCACCTCATAATAACTTTGTTGGGTCTTTTAGGGCTTATGTACAACAGCCCGGATTACAAGCTTCAATTATAAATGAAAACCTGAACAAGAAATTTGGGCTTAACAAACACTTTAACAATTTTAGCCGCATGCCACGGAGTCATGAGTGGACACATAGGTTTTATTTACAAAAGCTCCGGGAGGCACTAGCTCCCCTAGATGGTAGACATGTGTGATTCTTTGTGTTCTGAATCAATATTCGTACGAATTTTCCGAAATTCGGACACATCCGAATTTCAGCATCCCAATGCATCCGAATGCGTCCGAATCTGAATTTCCGTTTCTGAATTTCGGATCCCTAAATTGAATCGGACATGTGACTTTTCTGGCCCATCAGATGTGTTTCTCGGTTTAATGCATCCGAATGGGCCTGAACACGAATTTTCAAATAGCATTCGGTAGCTCCCAAATGCCATTTGGGTCTGGGAGCCTCAGGTTTGGTTTTATGTATATATGGATCACAATGTTGCCGCTACGAATATTCATTTGTATTATAGAGTATTACTTATATATACATAATACTAAAACTGATGCGTCAAGACCCGAATGGAGTCTGAATTTCCGAATAGCATTCAAAAGCCCCCAAATGCCATTCGGGTCTGGAAGCCTCAGCTTTAATATGGCTCCCAGAACCGTATTGCTTTCTGGAGCTCCCGAATGGTATTTGGAAATTCGGACTCCCGGATGCCATTCGGGTCTAGGAGCTTCAGCTTCAGTATTAATATCTGTATATGGTTTTCTGGGGTATTCGCACCAAATATTCAAAAAATCATCGAAACTAACAAAAATTCCGAATCCGAAACTCCAAACAAATTGATTTTCGGATTCCAAATAACGAAATGTCCCAACCGAACGGAACCACATTTTTCCGCAGCTTACATGTCTACTATATGGTGCTGATGAGTATAATTGGTCACCATGAGAAATATAGAATGGTCACGAGGACAAATATACAATGCTCACCAGGAGAAATATAGAATGGTCACCAGGACAAATATACAATGCTCACCAGGAGAAATATAGAATGGTCACCAGGACAAATATACAATGCTCACCAGGAGAAATATAGAATGGTCACCAGGACAAATATACAATGTACACCAGGAGAAATATAGAATGGCCACCACGAGAAATATACAGTACAATGGCCACCAGTACAAATATACAGTGGTCAGCAGGAGAAATATACAATGGCCACCAGTACAAATATATAGTGGTCAGCAGGAGAAATATAGAATGGTCACCAGGACAAATATACAGTGGCGACCCGGACAAATATACAATGGTCACAAAGACAAATGTAGCGTTAATCCCCCCAGCAGGGGCACAGCAATAACAATAACACTCCACACTCCATGCAAAATTCAAAAGAAAAGGTTCATTTTTAGGTACACATTGGCACTGTATACTGTCCTGACAGCTACACATTAGATGAACATTGCTGGTATGCCTTTACAGGTACTGTCAAGCTTGACATTTCTCTCCCGCAGATTAACAGCTTTTTAGGTTTTGTCAATTCACCACAATGACACAAGTAACAGATACTCTGTAACCACATATTAGAAAGACAGATTATATGAAGACGTGGCACTTCCTTGTTTCTCTTTGTCATTTGCATGTCACATGCCACTTCTCTACATTAGCAAATGATATAAAGTCTATGGATAGCAAAGATACTGTTGCTAATATTTTGTACTTATTGAAGTTTCATGTGTACAGATGATGAGAGAAATGTTAAAGGGAATTTGAATTGGTTGAAGAATATTGGTCTCTTGTCTCATTTTAGCAATGTTTCATGTTGAAAACACTAAACTATTTACTACAGCACCATAACATGGCATGGCCTTTATATAAATAGGAAATGATACATTATGAGGTCAAATGACATTGGATAATGCAACTACTGACATAGTTATCTCAATGCAAGTCCAAACTGATTTTATATTATGTAGAGGAGCTGGCCTGGCACGTTCTTCACTTGCAGGCCTCACCAGGAGTCCACTGGTGAAATATCACCAGCAGAATTTTCCTGTATTCTTACTTGAATATCGGTATGCTTTGTGTATTTGGCTCTCTGTAGGATCTTCCTGTCATAAAGACCAGTCACTGCTGCTCTCTCTCCTTGTGCAGGGTGATTGGTCTTGTCTCCGCCCCCTCCTGTAGTTTTCTGCAGGTGTTCTATCAAACTTTGTGACTGACTTAGAATGTGTGACCAGTGATGTGGTCACACATGTTAACCTAATCCCGCCTAGTTTTTCAGCGGTGGAATATGTGACCGGCAAAAGGTGAAGAATTCCAACACTTTGTCAGCTGTTCCAGGGCAGATCGGCATTGCATATGGTATGTGCAGGAAAACCAATCTGTCCTGGTCACATTTTCCACCGCCGAAAAACGGTCCGATTACGTTAAAATGTGTGACCGGTCACACATTCCAACCCAGTCACTAACTTTGATAGAACACACACTACAATCTGTAGTGGGTGGGGCTTTCTGGGTCCCCCCCACAACTCTGCTCTCTGCATAGGTTATGTAGAGCCTAGTGATGATATCACTGCTACTATTATTTGCACATGCATTTGGCGTACGCTGAGTGAATTTCTATCATTTGTCGCTATTGATGAGTATATTTAAATTGCATTTTTGTTCATTTTGTGTAAACAACAGAAAAATTACTGCACAAATGCAGGTACAGCTGTTCAGAATTTGTGCCTGCATTTGTGCGGTATTTTTCCTTTCGCTTGCTGAGTTGGAGTGTGAGCGAGCTCTTTTAGCTGCACCTGGGTGGCTCTCATGTAGCTGGAACTCTGAATGAGAATTAGAGCGGTGATATCTTTTCTTTTAAACTGTTTAAGTGCATTTTGTATGACACATTTGACCTGGTATCATCCTTTTGCAGTCAGAGCTGAAGTATGAGAGGAAGAAGCAGCACAAGGAGTAAATCAGTTAATGTGCTGACTAGAAGCATGATGATAGGAGGAGAGAGCGGAGTTACAGATGAGTTCATCACTGTGCTGCTTCTCCTTTTATTGTCCTGTCACAGACTGGGGATGGGTCCGAGTAGGGGTGTC